GGAGTCTGTCGTGATTTTTCCATTCTCATTTCTGATTATGTTGATTTGTGTTGATTCTCTTTTTCTGTTAATAAGTTTGGCTAGAGGCTTGTCTATTTTGTTTATTTTCTCAAAGAACCAGCTCTTGGTTTCGTTGATTTTTGCTATTGTTTTATTCTTCTCAATTCCATTTATTTCATCTCTGATCTTTATTATGTCCCTCCTTCTGCTGACCTTAGGCCTCATTTGTTCTTCTTTTTCCAATTTCGATAATTGTGACATTAGACTGTTTATTTGGGATTGTTCTTCCTTTTTTAAATATGCCTGGATTGCTATATACTTTCCTCTTTACTGCTTTTGCTGTGTCCCACAATAGTTGGGGCTGAAGTTGATTTTTAAAGGAATGATTTATTCTTTCCTAATGTAGTTATCATCCTTTTTTGCTATAGGTCACCTAGCATGTATTTCTCATTTGTCTTATTTCTCCATAGAAATCTCCTCAGTAGATGGAAAAAGAAATGAAAGCAAGCAAGCAAATTAGTCTAAGGGCCTTTGGACCACCCTTCTATATAGATGGTCTGTTTCCCCAGAGCTTTGTGAAACTGCACTACTGCCCCCTTCCTTGTATTTAATGAGACCTGTGGGCAAACACATGATTCAGGGGAAACCAAGAGGCAGAGTTTAAATATGCTCCGATGACAGCTGGCTTACTTGTGCTAGCCATTGCAAAAGAACTTTACTAATGGTTCAAGCAGATGGACAGAAGGAAGAAGGCTAAATGTTAGAATGTGTGAGAGGTCAAAGGTCAAGGTGAATGAGGCTGGTGATTTCCTGAGGTCTGTAGGTGTTTTGCGTTGCAGCCTAAATTGAGGGTTATTTTTAATTTGACGCATTTTTCTAAACTTTAAGTACATTCATTAAAAAAAAGAAAAAAAATCTCAGCTTCTTTCAGTTCCCATTAAATTTGGGGTTTTAACTTCTAAGATAATATAGCATTCATTTGTAAAGTGTGGGAATTCGTAATACATTTTTAAGTGGAAGTCCAAAATGATTTAACAGATATTTTCTACAAAACACAATCCACTGAGTTTTCTTTTAATCAACAATGAACATATATCTTTTGCCTTTTTTTAACTTAAAAATAATTTTTCTGCTGGAGCAGGGGAATTATAAAACAGTTTAAATATATTGTGTAGGGAATAAATACCATTTGTTTGTTTCTGGGAAATCCTACTGTCCAGATATTTGCTGAGATTTAGCCTAAAAATTAATGCCAATTTTCTATTTATGATTTTGTAAATATTGTATCTTTCAGTTTAATCAAGTTTTATTGAAGCCAAGACATGAACTAACCTTTCGTTTGACAATCAAGCCCTTTAAAGGAGATCATAAATTTAAAAGGAAGATGGTTTTTGTTCCAGAAAGCTCCTATTTCCAAAGCTGAAGTGTACGTAGCACTTATGGCAAGAAGCAAAGTCAAGCTTTGTTACCCAAGGTACATTCTGTATTTCTTTGGTTCAAGGAATGGAGCAGGTCCCCACGAGAAGTGGAGAAACTCTAGAGGTGCCGCTCCAGCTACCCAGGTACCAGGCCTTTCTTCTAACTGGGATGTCACTGGCATCCGCATTGCCCTGGGTCAGTTATGTGTTTATTCAAAATCAAGATTTTAATTATATGAATCCAAAAATTTAAGGGTGTGTAAAACTGCACCTCAACAATTAAACATATTGTGTATCACCTTGATTTCCAAACCCTTTCAGACTAAAATTCACTTGGGAGTCATAAAAAATTGCCGGGAGTGGCCATTAAAAAAATTACCTCATATCCCAATTAGCAGCTCTTTATTGGTAGTTTTAATACATACATGGAGGTGCTTACCATTTCAGGAATAATTCACTAAAATCAGCTACATTTTTTAAGAGTGCACAAGCTGAAGGCGGGGTAATTTAAAACCAACACATTCAAAATTCAAAGTAACATCCTTCCCTTAGATGGTTACTTTTTCTTATAAATTAGTTTCTGGTGATCAACTGGGTGAAGTCTCTGAAGCTTATATTCATTATTAAATGGGT